TATTCGCCTCATTGATTCTACACTTCGCGAAAATGAATATCTTTTTAGCCTAAATGATCAGCAAAAGGTGTAGTATTTTTCCCTTGTAGCTACTATACAATTCCTTGTAAATTAGTATAGAGAATTTGAACTTGTATCAAAAATTGCAAGAAGAAGTGACAAGTCAGTTACTTAATCTGGTTGTTAACTCTTTACAGCCTAACATCATTATGCAAATTCTCCCATCCTTTCTCCAAACAATTCCTCTTGCACTCACAAGGATAATTTGTTTGAGAATCAAGAGTAATTGAGCTCACAATCATTTCCTTTTTTTCTGGTGACCTAACCTCAAGGAGACATTTGATGGGAGTTACTCTTAGAGGTTTACCTTTCAACTCCCAAAAGTGATTAACATGTAACTTCTCCCTTTAATATCCATACATTATCCAGTAAACAGGTAAGTGAGAATACTCAAGCTCATCAGGTCGAAATTGTGTTCTTGATCTAACTCCAAATTCTCATACCTAATTCGTAAGGAAATGTGCAGCTTCTAGAGGAGAGAATTGACCATCAGATCTTGATAGTTAAAGGGAAAGAACTCGGGCAGCATGTTTGCTTGGGAACATGCTTATAAAATGATGAATGAAAACTGTGTCTTTCAGTTTTTATTCCTTATGCTGACTGTAATTTTATCAGTATTTTGACTTGTCCCTTGGGGTAAAAAGTAGTAAATAAACACACTCATTAAAGTTTAGTTTGATAAATATGAACATGTATAAGGACAAACATAAGTTTGCCTTTTTTTCTATGGAGTTATACTTTATGTTTTCATGCAAAACATCCAACCCAAATACACATAATTATATCTCTGATTGTAAATGCAGAGTTTTCTTCTTTGATTTCTTTTAATATCCTCACCTGACAGCTCTGTTTTCTATTCAATAGTTTCTCTAAGATTTTTTTTTTTTTTTTTCAGTGCCTTAAGAGATAGCCGATTTTCTCCAGTAACCAAAGAGGAACTATCATTCCTTTTCTGTTCTGTGTCAGTTTTGACTAATTTTGAGGAAAATGTCAATTGTGTAGACTGGGAGGTAGGTTTAAAGTGTTTAATATCGTATTGTCTACATTAGATTATGGAATTGTAATGTTACATGTACAAGTGTTGTATATTTAAATTTGTATGGATGTGCAAAAGAAGTGTAGTACTTAGCCTTTTGTTTTAGATGTTTTACTGCATGATTATCTTCCAAAAATGAAGATCAAAGTAAAGAATGAGTTAACTTGATGAAATTCCTGTCAGAGCTTCATTTTTATGCTGCACAGAGTACATTTTAATGTCATTTCACACTCCTAAAATGATTTTCGTGGCACTATGAGATAGATTGCACTGGAAATCCCTCACACTTCTCTCTCTCTCTCTCCATGGTGTTGCTTTTTTTTATCATTTTAATCAACTTTTCTTTGAATTGTTACCCTTAGTAAATGAACATGAAAGATGTAACTGTCCATTTGAATCTGTCAGAGAATTTATTTGGTAAATTCATTTGAAATAAGCTATATAGAGAGCTGTAGAGTATCTAGGAACTGGGTAATACAGTTCTTCATTTATTAATAAAATTAATATCTTGACAATTTAGCCAAAGTTCTCCCTTTTGTTGACAAATGGAGGTACAGACCACTCTCTATGCTTTGATCTCTAATTTCTTGTTATGTAAGCTGACCCAATGATGCAGTTGCTATTCTTTATAGATTGGTGTTCATGGTATACGGATAGAATTTTATAATGATAAAGGTCACAAAAGAACTGCTACTTACCTTCCAGAAGTTGCCAAAGAACAAGGTACTGAGTTGTCTGTGCTAACAGGGCTCCACACTAACTTTTCAACTTACTAGCCAAGCCGCTATTGACATCTCAGATGTTATGACAATTTCAGTTTGTTTACTAGCCAAACTAGCCGGTGGAAATCGAAAAACACTAGCCAAAACTGAATTTTTATTAGTCTGTGGCTAGCTGGCTACCGTTAGTGTCGAGCCCTGGATAATATATTATGATGTGTCTGAGTGTTTTAAAAAGTCTTAAGAATTCCCAGAAGTTACAAAACATTTTGCCGTCAGTCAAGTTGGTCGATGTCTTTTGCCACATTATTTATTTTCAAGAATTTAATTGATTTGAATACTGTACATACATCCGTTTTAAGTATATTTGACAAGGGGAATGCGTGTGAATGTGTGACTGTTGATTTTAGGTTGGAATCAAATCCAGACCATTGACTCCCTGCTGAGGAAAGGTGGCTTCAAAGGAACCATAACCCAAGAAGTGCGCAACTCTATCAAAGTGACCCGTTATCAGAGTGAAAAAGTCACCGTGGATTACAAGGAATACCTTGCATCCAAACAATGTACATGACAACTGTGTAGTCTAGGTCTAACAAATTTAGGCAACTAGATCTGTGAATACCATTTTCAAAGATGTTAATAATAATTATCAATTCACTTCTTGTTATATTATATAGTGCAAGTCATGTATATTTATTGACACAGCCAGTGTCATGAGAAGCAGAGCAGCTTTCTTTTTGCTGCTTTCAAGTCTCGCAGTCATTGGACGTTTTGAAAACAGTAATCCGAAAGCTGCATGCAAAGCTTAGTTTGTGTGGGAATCACATTGCAATTCAATTATACTTCAAAATCTTTTTAATAGCCCTATAACAAAGGTAAAACTGCAACAGTGGAAAAATAACCAATTGAAAGTGTTCATGATTTTAACAAAACTCCTCTTTAACAACTGAGTTGATTTTTTTTGTTTGTTAAATTAAATTATAGTTAATAATTTAACTTTAAGTTTGTTATAATATTTTCACTCTTACAATTTATGGTCCTTAATATATCAGAAATCTGTATAAAACCCTTTGGGTTGGTTATTTAAACAAAGTCTAGCTTTTTTCTTTTAACAAAACTGCATTCTAAGCCATCTTCAGTTTAGCCAAACCTTTTTCTGAACACTTATTTTTGTCAGCAATGTCAAGATGGCTGAAAGCTAATAGGGGAAGTAAATTTTTATTAATTAAATCAATCCTCTTACAGAGAATCCCTGAGGCCCACTGCTTGTGTAAACCATGGTTTGGGTTAGACCTTATGAAAGTAACCAGCCCTTTGGGTGAAATATTTACATATGTTTACACTCGGATAGAAATATTGTACTATTTTTTCAGTCAACCATAGACACACCTTTGTTCTAATACGACGATAAGGTTATTGTCATTTTTCAACTGTTTTAAGTTACAGATTTTTTACTTGGCGGTGTCAAGCACCTCATTTACAGTTAATAGTTCTCTACTAAAAACAGTCAACTCTCAACTAATGGATACCCTTGTAAGCATACAATTCTACTTACCAACACCCCTTTTTTTCACAATTTCAGTTTCTTTCTCTGGGTCAAACTCTGTATTTACACATTCGCATAGGCAGACATTATGTGAGAAGTGGACGTGGACACATTTAAAGTAAAAGTTAGTTTTTTCTTTTGTTTACACCCTCTCGTAAGCAGACACCCCAAGACCATGCATAATAATTGGCAATGAAATTTGTCTTGAATTTGCAAATCAACAAAAATATGACCTTTGACAGAGCAACAGAACAGTGGAGATCAGTTTTGTCAAATCTCCGTTTTTCAGCAAGAAAGGAAGCTGTCCATTAGTTTGACAACAATAAGAGTCTGACCCAACACTCCTCCCCTCAAATGACATCCAACCTATTTTTTCTGAGTGTCCTCCTTTGGGAGTAATTCGCATAAGCAGACAGTTCTGCTTTTGGACCTTTTTTCCAATTCTTGAGGATGTCCTTTTAGAAGAGAGTTGACTGTAGTTCTGCTATTGTTTTTCAGCTTTCTGATTAAGTGAGTTGCATTTTTTTTGTGCTAGCACACAATTTGGTATCAAGAGGCCAACTATATAGCATATATCTTGGTGTATTTACCACCAAATCTAAGGTGGGTTTTGACAACTTTTTGTTTTTTTCAGAAATTTTCTTTTGCAATTTGTCGTTTTGCTCTTCTTTCGAGCATCTCAGAATTTATCCTTTCGTATTTACCAAAACTACAATGTAGCTAGGATAACATCTGTATTTCATAGTTAGTGCTACAAATTGAAAATTGCATTTCATTGAGTTGTGTTACCACAGTGTGGTACTTAATTAGGTAATATTTGCATGAAAAATTTTGTATTATCAATTAATATTTTTTTTCAAATTCTACAGTCAGTTGCTATTAATAATGTCATATGGCAGATATTTGTAAGACTTTCTGCACACTATGACCATAAAGAAAAGGGATGAGGAATAGGTATTAGGGAGGAAAGAGCCATAGCTGATATTAATTACCAGATTGTTTCTTTTTTCATTGTTACCACCATTTTCCCTGGTTACTATTCTTTTTAGGTATGAACATTTCACTTACACCTGGCTCTGGTTAGAAATCCTTTGTGGGAATGTTAACATCAGTTCTTTTTTTTTTTTTTTTTTTTTTTTTTTTTTTGACTAGACAAGTATTGTGTTGTAAACAGCAAAAGAAGTCTCTATTTCTCAAAAGTTAGAAAAAGTTTCATGTTTCCTATCTATTCTTCCAAGTATTTTTTTTTCTAACACCACTAGTCTAAGAATAACAGGGTATTCAACCTTCCTTTTTTTTAATTACAATCAAAGGGGCAAGGTGCACCCATTTTAGGTGATTCTAATACTATTCAACTAGCCAATTTATTTAAAAGAAAATCCAAGTGAACATAAAAACTGAAAATTATAGTGAGATTAACCTTGAAGACAGACAGACTTTTCAAAATCTGCAAGAAATCAGACATACTTTTGCAAATAATTTATGTGAAAGGGAAAAATGATGGCTGACCTAAAATAATGGCAACTGGCCCCTTTCTGTCACCTACAAGAACATTTTCTCTTTTCCTACAAATCTTGTCTTTCCCATGTATTTTATCATTTGCCATTAGCCGTTACCCCTTGCTGTTGACTAGTATTCACTTTTTTTTCATTAATGTCAAAACTATATTCTTGACTTTGCTGTTCTTTCTTCTAATATTAAAAGGTTGAAATGAAGTCATTTCAGATTTGATGTGCTTTAATTTTTTCTCTGACTAAATGAAGTAAGAAATGTAGCTTGATGCATCACAAAGAAGATACCAGTAGGTGGTCATCAACCATTTTTAATTGAAGTCAATTTTAATCTGAAGATGAAGGATAATGTCATTTTCAAACGCTTTCTTGAAGCACAAGATCTCTAAAAAATTGCAAATATGTCGAGAGGTAGTCCCAAACTCTGAAAAAGTGATAGAACATTTCTCTCCTGAAAATTATTCATTTCATCAAGTTAACTCTTTTGGGGGCATCTGCACGTGCCATTTCCCATAAGAGCAATAAAGGTGATGCTATTTGTTGGTAGAACAGTGTACAAATTATTATTTTAAAGGCAGGATGGTTTACAAACATCTATGGTGGCTCTAATGAGGCTGTTTCACTGTCTTTTACTAGCATGACTTTATGGATTGAAACATTACACTTTCTTTGTTTCCATTGAAAAGTTTTGTTCTTTTACATAATGAGAAAAGTGAAAAACTCCTCTCCTCTCACAAGAGACAAAAAGATAGAGTAGGGCACTATCGCAAGCTGACCCATTTTTACTCAGAGTCATATTTAATCGTTGCTTTAGAGATTTAATTCACACTGTTACAGACACCTTAGATAAGAAACACCCTTAAGATACGATATCTTTACGCACTAAACTAAACTGAACTCAGCGGCACACAATTTTAACTAATAATAATACAAATTTAATGCTCAAAATGAGCTGGTACTGCATCCTGCTCTGCAGAACTTCTCGTAAACGAAGCTGATAGTAAACCAATTACATCACAAAAACAGAGTTCATGTTAATTTTAAGCAAGATTGTTAAAAGAAATTTTCAAACCAGTAATTAAAAGCAATGATGCTTTTTCACATTTCATTACATCCATTTTGAAATTGCTGGCAATCCTTGTCATCTGATTGGCTCTCATTGGTGCAATGTATTCAATTACAGTCACTGTGATATTATAAATATTATCAAGAGTTCTAAGATATTTCAGGCAATAAGTCGGAGAGGTACAAAATTTTACCCAGTTACCAACAGAAGAGGAGAACTCTGAAATACCCTTGATAATTTTCACTATCACTACCACATATTTAATTTTGCAAAATTAAAAATTAATTTTGCAAATAATTTAATATTTTCAATGACCTATCAGAGCAGAATATTTAAATTAGCCAATAAACAAACTGGAAAAATATAAATAGTGTCCAAAATTAATGTCCATCTTTTTCAAAGATAGTTAAATGAATTAATTATTCCAAGTTTAAAATTAAAAAAAGAAGAGAGAGACCCAGGCTGCATTGTTCAAAACATGATTAAGCTAAGCGAGGTTTTAAACACTAACTCACAGAAGTGATTAACCTGTAACTTCTCCCTATAATATCCATACATAATCCTGCAAACAGGAAATGAGAATACTCAAACTTATCAAGTAGAAGTGGTTTTCTTGATCTTAAACCAAATTCTCGCTACTCATTTACAAGGAAATGTGTAGCAGCTAGAGGGGAGAATTAGTTACCAGTTCTTGGGAAGTAAAGGGTTAATTGTTTATAGTCTTCTCTTCGAGTTTTGTCTTTTGCCAAGGTATGAAACCCCTCAAATCACGAGCCCTAACACTTAGCTTTGAGAAAAATCAAGGAAAAATGAAACTTTTAATCCAGGATCAATGTTAACAGCCTTTTAAACAACCAAGGCATGCAACTGGGCATTCACAAAAAAAAATTGTTTCAAATAAAAAGTGAACAGTCAAATTTAAAGACTGAATTTCCAATTACAGTTCATGACCTTAAATACAGTGATCTCAACACCGCAGGTTTCATCCTTGAGTTCACAATCTGTTATTGTCCCTGTCTTGAATGAGTGAAGCCTTGTGACAGCCCCTAAAATTTTTCCTCTTGCAGTAAAACATGGACAGAGTGCCACCTGCAAGTAATGCCACCATTGATGCCACTGTTGCCACAATAGCAATGTTGGTTTTGTAATCCAGTGTTGTCTCTGTTGATGAACAATGCAAATACATGCAGTCAGTAAATTAACATTGATATCAAGCAAACAAAGAAATTAATAAGCAAATTGGACAACTAGCTAACTGTTCCACACATTGACTCACTAGTAATATGGAGCAAAATAGAATTTAACAGGGCAATTGTAATAGACCACTTTCATAAATGGCTGCTGGATTAATATTCTTTTGTTTAAATTTAAATTAGCCTTTCTGGCCTTATTCTCCAGTACAAAATTCAAAAGAATACATTATCTCGAGCGAGGCCAGAAAGGCTAATTTAATTTTAAACAAAAGAATATTAATCCGGCAGCCATTTTTGAAAGTGGTCAATGGCAGAGTGAAATAGCAAGCGAGGTTGGGGTCAGTGGATGACAAGTTGTGTGATGTGTTATCTGTACCCTTATGGGCAATGGCAAATTGGCCAATCAAATTGCAACATTACTGCCTATTGTGCCAAACTAATACATAATTACTGCCAATATTTGATGGGGCACCATGGAAGAATTCTCATATCAGGTTTTGAAGGTTTAAGGGTTAAATTCTCTCCCTCCCCCATCGCTTCATAATGTTTGTAACATCAACACTGGATTTCAAGAAAAAATTATCCTTGAGAGGGGAGTGGAGTGTTGTCGGAAGAGCTTGACAAGGGTTGCGTGACGTCTCATTCCGAACGCTTGACCGGTACAATTAATAGTTGCGTGACATCTCATTCCGAACGCTTGACCAGTACAATTAAGTCACTCACAGCCAAGAAAGATAGAAAAATCTGCATTTCTCAAACTCCATCGCACTTAAGACCCCCGGTGACTAATTTCAAAAATAGATATTTCCGACAATTTCAAAATACCCTATTTTCATAACTCTGAATTTCTAAAATGAAAGCAAGGAAAACTGTTTGCGGTGAGAAGGATTCACTTTAATCAAAATAGACCTCGAGGAGATTTCGTCAAGCATAGGATATCTCAGACCTGCAAATTTCTTTTACCAATTCGTTGCCAATCCGAGAACTTTTGGTATTGGATTCGTTAAACCTTTAAAACACCAATTTGTAATTAAAACAGCGTTCCAATTTGGCAGTGACTTCGGAGATTAAGAAGGCCGCTGAAGTAGAAAAGAGTTTTTAATTCGAATAATTTAAAACCAGTTTTTAAGCTTTAACTTTACCTTACTTCATGAGAGAGTCTACGATCGGCGACAAAATTGTCGACGTGGTATGGGTTGCTAAGAAGGACCTTTACAGGGGACACTTGGTATGTATATGGTGGGCATGAACAGCATGCTGGGAAAAAACTATTCACCGCACAATATTTGTGTGGTGCTGCACGAGGAGATCATAGATCATAGGCATGGATTGCCAAGGAGGAGCACAGGGGATCAAGGGGACACTATATATGATGGGCATGGATTGCCAAGGAGGAGCACAGGGGATCAAGGGGACACTATATATGATGGCGT